AGGAAACAGACGACCCAATTAAGACATGAGCTAAAGATCTTAACAAACACCTCACCAAAGAAGATATACAGATGGCAAATAAGCGTAAGAAAGATGCCCCACATCATATGTTACCAGAGAAATGCAACAATGAGATATGAAATGAAAACAACAATCAGATATCAGCACACACGTTTAGAATGGCTGCAAGGTGCAACACTGACGCTACTGAATGCCGGCAAGGATGCGGAGCAATAGGAACTCTCATTCACTGCTGGTAGGAATGAAAAAATAAACAGCCACTTTGGAAGATGATTTGGCAGTTTCTTACAAAAATATATTCTTACCATATGATCCAGCAATTTCACTCCTTGGTATTTACCTAAAGAAGTTGAAAACTTATGTCCACAAAATAACCTGCACATAGATGTGTATGTCAGCTACATTCATAATTGCCAAAACTCGGAAGCAACCAAGATGGCTTTCAGTCAGTGAGTGGATAAACTGTGATACATCTAGATGATTAAATATTATTCAACTCTAAAAATAAGTGAGCTACCAAGCCTTGAAAAGACATGGAAGAAAGTTAAACGCATATTACTAAGTGAAAGAAGCCAACTATATACATTTGGAATCTCTATGATTCCAAATATATGACATTCTGGGAAAGGCAAAACTATGGAAACAGTAAAAAGATCAGTGGTTGTCAGGGCTGGGGGTTGAGGGGAAGGAAGAATAGGCAGAGCATAGAAATATTTTCAGTACAGAAAATTCTCTGTATGATGAATTCATTATAATGAATTCACTGAATGTACAATACCAAGATGAATCTAAGGTAAACTATGGGCTTTGAATGATTATGTTGAGTCCATACAGTTTAAGCAATTATAACAAATGTTTCACTCTGCTGAGTGATGTTAATAATTGGAGAGACTATGCATGTGCTGGGGCAGGGAGTATGTGGGGAGTGCAGGTACCTTCTTCTCCATTTTGTTGTGAACATAAAACTGCTTTATAAAAAATAAAATCTTTAAATAAATACCCACCAAATCAGGTGGTACAAATATTAAATCAATACAAATCCAAATATAATAGTAATTCCATTGAGTATAAATGAATTAAATACTCCAATGTAAAAACTCAGATTTTCAGACTGAAAATAAAATCAGAAGTCACCTGGGGGTTAAAAAAGCAAAGCCTGAGACTAAGGCTTAGCTATAATTGTTAGGGAATGTATTAATAGCTCTAAGGCTTGGAATGGAAATGACAAAAGAATAAGGAAAAGAAATAGACAAAGTGGAAGTATCAAAACAAGGATGTGAAGAGTAGATATATGTATATGTATAAGTGATTGACTTTGCTGTACAGTGGAAAGTAACACAACATTGTAATTCAACTATACTCCAATAAAAAATTAATTTAAAAAAACAAGAATGTGTTATCAAGTTGACTAGTGCTACAGGGTGTTCCATCACAATGGATGATCTAAGACGCTTTATGATAGGCAGCTAAGATCCTTGGGGAAGAAACAGGGAAGCATTTACCCATTAACTCCCCCCACCTTTGGCTGAGGGTTGTTCCTAGTGGCATTAACTGCTTCTTACCCGTGTTGAGCAGGCAGGGTCCCACTGGTACCCTACACTGAGAAAAGAGCTGGGGCCGAGAGAATCCCAAGTAATTCCCAAGAGGTGTCCAACAGACCATCCAAACATTGGGACTGGAAGTTTTCTTCTACAACTTTAAATTTTTCTTTAAGGATTACTCATCAGATTTATCGGAGAAGGCAGTGGCACCCCACTCCAGTACTCTTGCCTGGAAAACCCCACGGACGGAGGAGCCTGGTGGGCAGCAGTCCATGGGGTCGCTAAGAGTCGGACACGATTGAGCGACTTCCCTTTCACTTTTCACTTTCATGCATTGGAGAAGGACATGGCAACCCACTCCAGTGTTCTTGCCTGGAGAATCCCAGGGACGGGGGAGCCTGGTGGGCTGCCGTCTATGGGGTTACAGAGAGTCGGACACAACTGAAGTGACGCAGCAGCAGCAGCAACAGATTTATATCTCCCATTTAGTTCATTTTGATAACTTACATGTTTCTTTGAGAATCATCCCATTTCATCAATTCCTCAAATAGGCAACATAGTTTTTTTGTTTGTTTGTTTTTGATTGTTTTTGGCCACATGACATGTGGGATCTTATCCTCAACCAGGGATCGAACTGGTGTCCCCTGCAATAGAAGTACAGAGTCTTAACCACTGCACTGGCAGAGAAGTCCCCTAGGCTAGAATAGTTTTTTCTCTCTTTTTTAAGTATACTTTTAGGAGGGTGTATAATATGTTGTTTATGGTTCTATATTACAGAAACAAACTTGGATTGAATTATTAATGATACTTTTCTGTTTTTCAGTGAATTAATTTCTGCTTTCATTATATTAGTACCTTTTAACAGGTTTACTTTACATTTATTTTACATTAAATTTTTTTCCTTCTTAGTCTAAAATATGTCACTTACAGAAACAGAGAATATAATGATGGCTGGATGGGGGGAGAGGGAAATAGGGAGATGTTGGTCAAAGGGTAAAGTGGTAAAGGTTAAAAGTAAGATGTAAGATGTAAGATGAAAGATGATTAAGTTCTGGAGATCTAACATACAGCATGGTGACTATAGTTAATAATACTGTATTGTATACTTGATATTTGCTAAAAAGATAGATCATAAATGTTCTCAACACACATACACACACAAGGAAAAGAAAAAGAAAAGGGGAACTATGTGAGGTGATAGATACGTTAACTAGCTTGATTGTGGCAATCATTTCACAGTGTATATCAAAATATCAAGTTGTACACCTTAAATATGTATAATTACTATTTGTTAATTATACTTCAATAAAGCTGGGGGAAAAAAAGAATATACAGACAATGAAGGCTGTTGGATAGAGAACAGCAAATAAAGAGATGAACACCTTAATACAAGGTTAAAAAAAAACAAACAGCAAAAACTTTTCTTGAAATAAATGCTTAACTCATGTATTTTCATTATTCCTTTTAAAAATAATAGGACAGCAACAGCATTTTGGAGTATGGTTTCTTTTCTGAGTATAGCTTTGTCACATGCCAGAAGTTTTGAAACCTGGTATTATTATTACTGTTATTTTCAAAACTATTTAATTATATGTTTTATTTCCTTTGTTACCCAAGAGTTATTTACAAGAATATTGCTTAATTTCCTGGTGTTTTATATTTTCCTTACTAATTCTTTGTTTTGCTGGATTATGGTCAAAGAGAGTTTAAATCTAAGAATTTGTGGAAATTTCTTTTATGACCTAATGTATGACCTCATATCTAGCAGCTATTTTCAAGGTATGTGAACTAGGTGTTTGTGGACTATAAATGCCAAAAAGCTTATTGATTATATTATTTGATTCCTTTATTTATGTGTCCACTTGATTCATCAAAGTGAATAAAGAAATGATAAAGGTTACCATTATAATTATAGCCCTAACAATTTCTTCTTGATTTCTAAGTTTTCATTTAAATGATTTAGACACTAATATTTAGACACTATTTTATGTAGAACATAAACATTCATGAGTTTTATATCATTTTGTGATTTACACCTTGTATTGGTATAATAGTCTACATAACTTTGTTCTTTAATTCTTCTTTGATATTAATATTGCCATCTGTATTTTAGTTTTGGCTTTGTTTTCATTAATGTTGAGAATTAATGTTGTTGTGAATAAAGTAATTCACAACATTAATGTACTATGTCTTTGTCATCATTTAAAAGAAGAACTTTATGGGTCACTTAATTTTAGACTTGCCTTTTGTCAACAACATGTATTACTCAGATTTCTGTGGAGAAAATAGAAACCACCTTCTGTGTTTCAAGTGGAAAAGGACTTAATACAGGGAATTCTGTGCTTGTGGAGGCCTTCGGGGTGTCTAGAGGAGTGGAGATTGGGGGCCTCCACTGGACTGCTGATTGCAAGTCACTGCAGGAGGATCAGGAAGCTATTGCTGCTGCGTCAGGACAACAGTTTCTCGCCCCTCCGAGTCGGTGACCAGATGCTGGAACACGGCTTCCACCGGCTTAAAGCTGTTTCCCATTGCCTGGCAGCAGGAACATGGCCTCCACCTCACCTCCACCTACCAAAGCAGTACAACTCTTTCAAGGGCATCTTATTGGCCCAACTGACTTATGACCAGCGCCCTCATTTTGATGGTCTTCAAAAAAGGTCACTTTTAGATTTACATCCTCTTCAAATGGAAAGAGAATGGAATGGAAGTTAGGAGAGCCAGACTAAGAATCTGCCATACGGTAGCAGAGTGCTGGATTTATCCTTTGGAATTACGAGAGACCTTCTGTCTCAGATGAGGGGGTGTAGTAGCTCAGTCACATTTATTCTAACAGATACTACCGATCTCACTTCTTTATTCTTAGGCTGACTTGCATTTCAACTCTTCTTCTTTTCATACTTTTGGACATATGGATCAATTTTATTTGCTTTTTTTGCTAAATAGTAATTTTTAAGTCTTATATTCCACTTCATTCTACTACTGATTATCTTCAGATTAAAAATATTAATACATAAAGGAACATGTTTCATTCATATACATATATTTAGGTTAAATATATGCATTTATATATGCATACACACACACACACACACACACACACACACACATATGGGACTTTCCTGGTATTTCAGCTGGTAAAGAATCCGTCTGCAATTCAGGAGACCCCAGTTCAATTTCTGGGTCAGGAAGATCCCTTGGAGAAGGGATAGGCTACCCACTCCAGGATTCTTGGGCTTCCCAGTGGCTCAGATGATAAAGAGTCCACCTGCAATGTGGGAGATCTGGGTTCGATCCCTGGGTGGGGAAGATCCCCTGGAGGAGGGCATGGCAACTCACTCCAGTATTCTTGCCTGGAGAATCCCCACAGACAGAGGAGCCTGGCGGGCTGCAGCCCATGCGGTTGCAAAGAGTCAGACATGACTGAGTGACTAAGCACAGTATAGATATAGATATAGATATAGGTTGCAAGATTAATCATAAGTTGGTATCTATTGATAAGTGTTCTAGTCAGGGACTTTGTTGGCAAATAAGAGAAACCTTCTACAAAGACTTAAGATTTTAGTGGAAGGCTATTTGGTAGATATAGAATTGGTGGGAGGCCTGGACAGTAAGGCTGGGAAAATGGGCAGAAGGCTAGGAACCTAGCCAGGCCGTACACAGTCTGTTTAGCATGTTTAGCATCCTGCTGCTGTCCCCACAGCCCCAGGGCACAGGCCTCCTGACTTCTCTTCTAGGTTAAATCCTGGGCAGGGCTTCCTGTGAGCTGGTTTTAGGCCACCCACCTGGGCTATGGAAGAAGAATACTTGGCTTTTTTAACATCAGTGGAGAAAGGCTGGCCTTTGAATCTAGGAAGGTATGCGTCCCTTTGGGGATGCACTAGCACTCCCCAAAATGACTGCACACACCCATGATTGTGAAATATGAGAGATGTAGTCTGTTTCCCTTCTTTCTTCTGTCTCCCTTCTTTCTTCTGTCTCTTTCATCTGATCAAGAAGCCCTTATTGACTGCCTTCTATGATCAGAAGCTGTTGTAGGCACAACATATGGAAATCAAGAAACCAATTTCTGTCTTCAAGGAATGTATCATCCAGCATGGGAGAGTTAGATGCTTAAAGGTATGTTTTAATGTCATGAGAGACAAGTAGGAACATGTATGTTCACAGAGTGGGAATGCAGTGGAGGAAAATGATGCTTAGTCCAGTCTGAGTGGGAGAGAACTGACTGATTTCAAAAGAGGAGCACTTCCAGGTGTCCATGGGGCTGGCTGAAAGACATGGTATCCAGAAACATAGGACTCCATGATCCACAGAAAATAGACACACTTTGCCGTGGCCAAGTGTGAAATGCAGGGTGGGTCTAGGGTGTCCAAGGCAGGAGAGGTGGATGGAGCACCTCGCGCAAGGGGAGGGAGACCCAAGGGAACATGGATCCTTGCCACCTCCTCCACACTGGGGCCTGGTAACGCTCTGTCTCTGAGACATGATAAGCCTTTGAATGGTGTGTTCAAAGTATGACATAGCATGACAGTTCAAAAGTATGACAGAGCTTCTAACCTAGCTGGAGCCTGGAGAAAGTCGTGGCCAAGGGATAGCAGAGCTGCTGGAAGGGCACACACAGGACACTGCATTTCTGCAAAATTGTGAGGGTTTCCCACAGTTCAGCAGAGAGCACAGTTCCCAGAGAGGGTGGCTAGGTTTGGGCATCTTTCAGGTGAGGGGACTCTAGTAATATTTTCTGAGAGGGGGACCACCTGATTCAGGGAACTGGCGTGGGGGAGCCCTTATAGGCCCCAGAGAGGACAGCATTTGGATGTCTGACCCACAGAGGCTACCAGAGGCCCATCAGTTGCTACTTTTCTAGTAGTAATATCCACAGAGGGGCCACAAGACAGACCTCTCCTCTCCCTTCCCACAGAGCTTGGACTCAGAATGGTGGGGGATGGGAGGTACCTGAGAGGTGACCCTTATCGCCCATGGTATGGTCAGGCCACGCAAGATGGCTGTTCTCTTGCTCTCTTACATCCCCTACTCTACCAGTGCCTGCTTCACCTACACCCTACTCACAAGAATGACCTTTCTGCACACTTGCCCTAGGCCGAGCTAGTGATAGTTCTTATCAAAGAGGTGGTGAAGGGCATGCCCCTCTTTCAGTTTCCCTGATAATCCATGAGCCAACCTAACATCATATAACTGACATCCTCATATAACTGGCAATCTTCCCTTCCCTCTGGGAGCAGAGACTGGCCCCATGTCCTGCCTCCTGCACACACAGGATGTCACTCCAGGACCTGACTTCAAACACGTAAGCTCCCCCATCCATTAAACCACTGGTGACTCTGTTGCTGACTCTGGGCTCTTTCTTCTGTCTTAATGCCGGGCAAGCACAGGACTTGTAGGCCTGTGGAGGGCAGGTCAACACCCAAGCCCACCCTCATCTCCAAGCTGCTGTGGCCACAACTTTACTCTGTCCTGGAGTTTTTGGTACTGGAGTGAGACTGTTTCAGTCATGAAAAGTGATAAAAAAGAGTTCTGGAGTCTTGACAAGCTGTCCACAGTGGAGCTGCTAGCCGCTGGGGAAGTATGACCGAGTACACAGTTGGAGAGCAGTTACTGAAAAAAAATAAAAACACTCCATGCCTGTACCCTGGCGAGCTGAGCCTTCTCAATAAACGTGTTTGGTCTGTGTTTGCTGGTGGCTGATGAAGTGCTGACGAGAGAGCTGGTTACTCAGCATGGACACTGCATGCATGCTCAGGCGCTCAGTAGTGTCTGACCCATTGTGACTCCGCAGACTGCAGCCCACCCGGCTCTTCTGTCCATGGGACTATCCAGGCAAGAAACTGGAGTGGGTTGCCATTTCCTTTTCCATAGGATCTTCCCAACCCAGGGATCAAAGGTTCATTTCCTGCAAATGGATTCTTTACCATTGAACCACCTGGGACAGGCAGTGTTTCCTAAAAGTCTCCCAAGAATCTTTTTCCCCTCGCAGCAGCTGCTCAAAACTCCCCATCCTCTTTCTCCACCCCCTAAATCTTTTTCCTCCCCTGTGTTTTCTCATGCAAAGCAATCTACCTCTGCCATCGGCTCGTCCCCACCCACCAAACCTGTCTTGTGGGGACCTGACCTCCGCCGGCTGACTCACACCTGCATCAGCGCTGGGCTGACGCCAGGTCCTCATCCCGCTTCCGGTCCCCGCGGTGAGCTCCAGTCGGGTTTCCTGAGGGGAGCCGCTTTCTCTTCCGCCTTCTGAATTAGATTCCCCAACAACAGGTAATCGGGCTTCCTGGGGGAAATTGGGGTTTTCTGGTGAACTTGACCATTAATTGTCGCGCGGTTATCTGAGCCCGCTGTTCCTGCCTCTGCAGACAGCGCTGGGCTGTGCCCTGGAATGAACTGTTGCAGGGGCCCTGAGGTCCCGACCGCAGACCCTGCTCCGGTCCCTCTTCCCTTTGACACAGCGGTGAGCTCTGAATTCCAGCGCGCCCCGCTCGGCTGTAGAGCGTTTCTCGGGCGGCGGGCATTCGGCCAGAGCGGGACTCTGTGGCTTTGTGCCCGCAGGTAATCACTAGGGCATGGCCCCACACGCCCGCTTAACCTCTTTGACTTCCAGTCTCGGGGGTCCGCCACCCCTGCGGCCTTGGGAGGCTTGTCTAACACGGCATGGTGGTGCGGGGTACAGTAGGGGGTCTGCGGGATGGCTGGTCCCTCAGCGACCTTCTGCTCTCCAGCGGCCAGACCCGGGTTCTGAACATGTCCAGCCATGTCTGCCGCTGACCTCTTCATCCATGAGAGGGTCTAATATCTGTGCATTTATATGCAATACTGAGCAAATGCTAATTCCTAGCCAGTACTTGCTGAGAGACTCTGACTCTCAGCCTTGCTGCCATAGTCACGTAAGCGTGGTTCTCCATTTCACAGATCTGGGTCCTAAAAGACCATGCCCCCATGCCCCCATGCCCTAAGTCTGATGGTAGAATGGCCCCCATTTCCTCCTTTTTGAAGGAGACTTTCTAAGGATGGTGCCACTCCTATCAGACCAACCTCTGCTCCCTGGTACCATGAGCATAACAACTGGATGATCAACGTGAAAGTTCATTCTCGGCACAGATCTAGGGAAGTAATTTACCTTGAAGTCCAAAACCCACACAAACCGTCCAATATGACTGAAACGTTCCAGGCTTCCTTGCAGATCATTGCCGTGGTATCACATCCAAGTAAATATAGACCCCCACCTTTAAAAAAATTGACAAGTAATGCAGGTTTTTGCTGAAGTATTCTTCTAGACCCAGAAGATAGGATTACACAGGACAAAAATATCTCCTAAAATCCCTAAACAATTCTTCTAATGCCCAAACTATGATTTCTCATCATTTCTTATGGGAAGTGCTCTAAATCTAGATGTCTCCTCTTTTTCCTCCTTTCTCTGCCTCTCCATCCCTTTCTTTCTCTCTGCTTTTCTCTTTTTCTCTCCCTCTGATCTGTATTATTACATCTCCTTGGCATTTCATCACATCAGCTGGTCTGGTCCACAAAGCCAAATCATCTTCCCTGAGACTCCTCACAAGGAGCACAGGGATACACTTTTTTCTGCAGTTATTTTTCAATTCAATTTTTTATTTTGAGAGAAGTGTAGATACACGTACAGTTGTAAGAAATAATGCAGAAAGATCCCCTGTACCTTTACCCAGTTTCTTCAGTGGTTACTCCTTCCAAATTGTGTAGCACAATTTCACAATCATGATATTGTCATTGATAGAGTCAGGATACAGAACATTTCCATCACCACAAGGAGCCCTCATGTTCCCCTTTCATAGCCAAACCTACTTCCTCCCCAGTCCTCTCATTAGCTCCTGGCAGCCACTAATCTGTTCATTTTTGTCATTGTGACATTTCAAGGCTGTTGTGTAAATGGAATCATACAGTGTATAACTCTGGGGGATTGGTTTTTTTCATTTAGCAAAATTCTTTGGAGATTCATCCATGTTGGTGCATGTGTCTGTTATTAATAATTCCCTTTTATTGTTGAATACTTATTTTTGCCCACTTGAGCTGTTATAACAAAATACCATAGACTGTAAGAAACAGAAATTTATTTCTGTGGAAGTGGGAAGTCCAAGGTCAAGTTGCCAGCATGGTCATGCTCTCACAAGAGCCTGCTTTCTGGTTCCTAGCCAGTGCCTTCTTGTTGTGTCCTCACATGATGAAAGCGGCTAGGGGTCCCTCTGGAGCCTTCTTTACAAGGCACTAGTCTCACTCATAAGGGTCCTATCCTCATGACATACACACCTCCCAAAGGCCCCACCTTTAATAGTACCATCATCTTAGGGGTTAAGATTTCAACACATGAAATTGTGGAGCATGGCACAGACATTTAGGTCACAGTAGTAGTGTTCCATGGAAAGGATTTATCACAGTTTGTTTAACCATTCACCCCTTGAAAGACATCTGGGTTAATTCCAGCTTTTGCCTACTAGAATGAAACTGCTATAAATATTTCAGGCCAAGATTTTGTGTGAACCTAAATCATCATTCCTCTGGGATAAATACCCAGGAGTGCAATTCCTGGAGCATACGGTATTTGCAGGTTAATTTTTAAAGAAATTGCCAAACATTTTTCCAGAGTGACTGGACCATTTTCTATTCCCATCAGCAATATATCCAGTTTCTCTACATCCTCACCACATTTTATGGTGTCATTGTTTTCTGTTTTAGCAATTCTGATAAGTATATAGTGATATCTCGTGGTTTTAATTTGAATTTCCTGAGGGCTAATGACATTGAACAACTTTTCATGTGCTTATTTATCATCTGTACATCTCCTTGAATGGAACATTTTTCTCTATGTCTTTTGTTAATTTCTAATTGGATTGTCTAATTTTTTTACTCTTGAGTGTTAAGACCTCTTTATCTAATCTAGATACAAATCTTTTGTCATATAAGTGGTTTTAAAATATTTCAGTTTTCCCTGTAGCTTATTTTTCATGCATTTAACTTTACTTATGAAAATAAATTTGATGTCAAATTTATCAGTTTTTCCTTTTATCAATTGTGCTTTTGGGGCCAAGTCTAAGAACTCTTTCCTTTGGTCTAGATCTCAAGGATTTTCTTCTGTGTTTTTCTTTCCTAAGTTTTACAGTTTTGTATTTTATGTGTAAATCCATAATCCAGTTTTGAGTTAATTTTTGTATAACATGTGAGACTTAGGTATAGATTTTTTTCTTTTTTTTTGCTTTGCTTTTTATATCCGATTGTTCCAGCATTTGTTAAAATGGCTAGCCTTCTTCTATTAAATTGCTTTTGCATCTTTGTCAGAAATGAGCTGGGCAAATTTGTAAGGGTCTATTTCTGTGTTCTCTGTTCCATTGATCTATGTGTCTATCCCTTAATCAATTCTATCTTGAACTTTGAATCCCTCTTAAACAAGAGTGGAGGAGACATTCTTGCCCTGTTCCCAATCTTAGCAGAAAGCACTGGGCCTGTCCCCATTAAGTAATGTTTGCCGGAGGTTTTGTAGATGCTCTTTGTCACATTCCTATTCTTCTCCATTCCTCCTCTAGTTCTATTTTTCTAAGAATTTTTATCAAGAATAGGTACTGAATTTTGTCAAAAGTGTTTCCTGCACCAACTGATATAATCATGTGATTTTTCTTCTTTAGCTTTAATAATTTGATGGATTATATCGACTGATTTCAGTGAGTCTTGCTTGCAACCCTGGAATAAATTCCACTTGGTCATAATTCTTTACAGGGATTGCTGAATTTAACTGTGTTAAGAACTTTTACACCTACATTTTTTTAGGGATACTGGTCTGTATTTTTCTTGTTTTATAATATCTTTGGTTTTGGTATCAAAGTAATATTAGGTTCATAAGATGAATTGGGAAATGTTTCCTTCTTTTTTGTTTTCTGGAAGACATCATGTAAAATGGTATTAAATCGTAAATGGTAAAATTCTCTAGTGAAATCATCTGGACTTGGAGACCTTTTGGGGGGGAGTTTAAAAAGTACAGATTCAATTTTCTTAATCGTTATAGGACTCTTCAAATCTATCTTTTTATTGATAAGTTGTGATAGTTCATGTTTTTCAAGGAATGGTCCATTTTACCTAACTTGTCAGATTTGTGCATGTAGAGTTATTTGTAGTATATCCTTATTTTTTATGTCTGCAGAGTCTGTGGTGATATTTCTGTTTCACAACTGATATTGGTAGTTTGTGTCTTCTCTCTCTTTTTTATTTGTCAGTCTTGCTAGAAGTTTGTCAATATTATTGATCTTTTCAAAGAACCAGCTCTTTGTTTCATTGATTTTATTGTTTTTCTGTTTTCAAGCTTCTTTCTTTCTTTCTTTTTGCTTGCCATGGAGGGAGTGTTGGCTCTAAAACAAAGTCCAGACACCTGGTCTTCTGAGTCTGGAGACACGGAAGTAAGGATGAAGGAAAAGCGAACGCAGATGGGAAACAAGAAAGGAAATACACACTTGGCAGGCACCACCCAGATTATCTTGATAGTGTGGGTGGTAGGTCTTCTGCTGGTGTATTAGCTAGGGGGTTGGTTGAATAGGGAGCTTGGAGACAGTGCTGAGGACTTGGAAAAAGAGGTGCTTGACCATGATGAGGTAAGGGGTCATGAGTTGGACGTCAGGACTCAACTCATGTTGGCTACATGGAACTGCCAATGGCAACCTATTATTAACAGCCAATGTGGTTTTCCAGCTGAACTAACAGGTCAGTATCAGCCATATGGTAATTTGTGACATGTGGGCCAAGGCAGATATAAATGCTTGGCAAAGAAAGAAAGAAGACATTTTAGTGATGATCTTTCAACATAGAGAAAAATGTTAATGTGGAGTTTGGTCTGTAAGATATTCATTTGCAAATACCACTGGCAGCAGGCTTGTATAGCTTGTGTTGTGTAATTATTGTGAAAGAAAGAAAAGAATTCCATGAATTGCCTATATTTCAGTGTTTGGGCACAGAATCAACTGAGGTCAGGTAATAATAAGCAGTCTTGCTCCTAGCCTTATTCATCTAATCTTCTCTTATGCTGCTGAGACAATGCTCCTCTTTATGCCACGTGGAGGCCTGGATGCTGTGATTGTAGGAACTCCAGCCAACTCAGCACTTGGCTTGGCGAACTGAGGGTTCTCAGGTCACATCATCAGAGACGGCTAGTGCCATGGACACATCCACTGTCTTGCTCCCCACACGATGACCATTGAAAATCCCAGGGTGGGGACTCACTGCAGAACCCCTTTCAGTTCATGCATAGCCCC